CCCCCCCACTGTGATGGTGTTACACTGGGCACAACTCCCGCACTGGTACAGATATTTTTAACTCACTGCCATCCAAGCAAAGCATGATTCGTGTGAAGACCTCAGGACTTAGCCTATTGTAAGATAAAGGGGAACAAACCTCTCTTCCCAACACTACCGTTCATCTTTTAGGTGTAAGTAGGCTGACCAGCCCTGGCTTTCTGGGAAAGTTTGGACCCTTGGACCAGTGGTTCTCAGCATCCTCCAAAGCCTTCCATTGCATGAGCAAGTTGACTGTGAAGAAGGAGCCACCCAAGTACTGGTGGGTGGAGTTCAGCACTGCCTGCTGGACCACACCCTGAGCTTGTGAAAATGTGCTGTCCTTGAGTAGCGTCAGATCTCTTAAGTTTAGTTTCGTTTAAGTTAATATTTATGATCATGGAAACATGAAAAAAACAGAAATTTCTGGAGTATAGCAGAAAAGGGTTACTGTCTTTTAATATTAACTCTCTTACCATGTGGTTACAGTGAGATTTTGTGTTTAATACCAAAACCAGACTTTATAAACTGCTTAAGATGAAGCCTCTCAACTGGTATGACCATGACCTGTCACCGCCGTCTGCCTGTGGACTTGGTTAGGGTCCCCACCTGAGGCCTGCACCCCGGATCTAAGTCAACCAGCTGAACCCCACACTGCCATGGCCTGCTCCTGTGGCCGACGAATCACTGCCATGCATCTGAAGTACGTAGCAACGTCTGAGCTAGAACGTGACGTACAGTTCTATGCTTTGTCGTGCTTTGTGAGACATTGGGTTTAAGGATTTATTGTTAAAGGTCAGCATCATCTGGCACAGATTTTTCTTTGGTGTCACCTCAGTACACTGTTGAGAAGTTATGAATGCAACTTTGAAAAGTAGTTCATGAGAAACTAGGGAACGATAGTCCTTGAGTTTAAAAGCTGTCACCATGTCACCTCGATCTTCAGAGAAGAAATTTAATAACCAGTTGTTTGTGCTTGCATGCGTTCGTGCGTGTGTGTTTTCCCTTAAAAGCCCTGTGAACTTGTGTGTGTGTGTGTGTGTGTGTGTGTGTGTTTTCCCTTAAAAGCCCTGTGAACTTTTGAAAGCGCATGGCTTCAGATACTGTGACTCTGTTACCTGCTTAAAGTGTTCAGTGCCATTCCTAAAGAAGATTGTGTCTGATGATTCCCCCATTCGTGGCCACACATGCACGCACAGACACTGCGAATGCCTGTGCGCTATAAAGTGGCTGTGGGTTAGGGGCCCACTGTGTGTAGCATCCGTTCTGGGAGGAGAGAGGCCCTTGCAAGCTCACCTGTGTGCCAGAAGGAAAATGTACAGTGTTTACAATGCCAGGCATTGTGCATTGCTGCAGGGAATGCCGGGAGTTCAGCAGATGAGGGGAGGGAGTGGGGACCCTGAGGCGAAATTAGAAGTGAGCAGTGTCTAAGGTAGAGAGTGATTTGCGGGTCGTTTTTCCTGATTGCCTTACTGTTTCCTATTGACAGCTCTCCTCCTTCCCTAACGGGACCACCAGGTCTCTTTCTGACATGGGGAATTTCCATAACCTCAATCCCAGTGACCATAATATTGGGGAATGTGGTGGTGGTGGTACCGGAGATAGTAAAAGGGCCTGAGTTGACCGCACCCTCCATTAGGAGCCTGTTGAGTGATGAGAAATGCTCCCCCACCCCACTCCAGGGTGGGGGAGATAGGGAGGAAGCTGATCTACAGAAAGTAGAGCCTGTTTGGAGACTCCATGCCTGAACCCACAAAGCTGATCTCCCTGTAGTTTGTCTCCCTCAGAGAGGATGGTCATTTGATGCCTTCTAGGTGCACAGTACAGCTAGTGGAGCGGGGCGCTGCCCATTGGGCTGCAATGCCCAGAAATGCCCAACTAGAACTTAAAGTCGGCGGTTTTTGTCACTCCCAGATCCCCTTTTGCCATCCTTCCGCTTCTTTATGGGGCGTTGTTAGCTCCTTGTGGGAATTGCATTCTACCTGAGACCAT